CAGAGCAGGAGCAGCGGCTGTCGGTCTGAAAGTAGCAAGCTGACGCGAAAACCTCGGGGACGAAAGGGGAACGTCCCCCCTCGGCGCCCGTCCCAGCGTTTTCGGCTTCGGCCTCCAAGCCACCGCCAGGGAGGTCTTCCCCACCCCCACCCCCACCCCCGTCGTCGTCATCGTTGATGCCCGGGAGCAGCAGCTTGCGGAAGCCGCGCGCGCAGCCTCTGAGGAGCAACAACACGAGGTATGCTTCGGGGTATTATAGTCCATGTATGTTGTCCTCAGAACCAAGGTAAAAACATGAATACGATTGAATGAAATATCTCTGTATGCATAGTGTAGGGCCAATTGTTTTGGGCGTGATGATGCATACTGGTATAGATGGGCGCCGTGGGGTGTCTCCATCAAGACCTATGAATACGATTGAGTGAGATGTTTCTGTAGTTTTGCGGCCAATTGTTATCGGCGTGATGCACAGATGGGCGCCATGGGATGTCCCCACCTGCAAAACAAAGAATTCGACAGCATGTCGTCTAGCATTCTACCCCATGTGCCCGCCAAACCTGGCGCATGGATGTCTACCCTTACATTTTTGTGCTGCTGTGTGAACCCCTCTGTTGTCACGCCTTGTTCCTGCTAGAACTCCTGCGACGCGTGGCGGCGGCACCAGAACCCGATCTGCCTTGAAGGTACGCTGCATGACGGTGTTGTATTTTACTTTCAGTTTGTATATGACGGTTGGTCCATGGAGAGGAAGGCCGGAGAGCATGTATGTCTCGTCTCTGGTTTTGGTAACCATGAGCTAGTTTGTGCAGTACAGTTATCCCTGAGTTGGACTTGATGGCTGTGTATGATTTTTTTTGTTTTTTCTTCAGGTACTATCAATAGCCCAAGCTACGTGGGGCTGATGTTGTTGAACACGCGGTTTTACTTTCTTCGGTCCTTGACGCCCTTGGCGACAGTACAAAATCCTGGAAACAACCCTCGACGCAAAGCTCGTCGGTGATTTTCTTGGCCATATTTTTTCCACGCCTCATTCATATGTCTGCACTCGGAAGTCATCCACTCATCATCGGCGTGTATCGATACCCCCCCCCCGTAAACATCAATGCCCTCTCTCGCATCGTTTCCCACACCCTTCCGTTAACCTCCTGCGACGGCAGGGGCCCGCTGAGCGTTTGGCGGTGATGGGTACGCCGGCAAGGAAGGCGGCGGCGGCGGCGGCGGCGGCTGGAGGGGAGGGGGGAGCCGGCATCGCTCACCAAACGCCACGACAGGTGAGGTTGATTGCGCGTGGGAGGTCGGACGACCGGTATGCGTTGTAAGGTACCACTGCTCTGGTGTGTTGTAGGGCGTTTGCTGCTGGTTCCCGTCGCCATGTTTGCGGCCACAGCATTGGGGTGTGCACCGCCGTCCTTCCTGAAGGGGAAGACAATCTCTTTAGGAGCCGGAAACGAGCGGCACGTGCCGTGCACCACGCGGCTGGTGGTGCTGCGTGTTGTTGGTGTTTTTTGTGTGTGCATGTAGTCTCGAAGGACATGGCAGCCCGTAGCTCGTTTTTCTTTTCCGTACGTACTGAAGTCCTGCTGCTGTCTCGCGCGTTACAAGCCAATATGGTGATAGGCGACGACACAATGCTGTGTCCCCTTTTGTCATGACTCTCGCATTTCCCCTTCGCCAAGAGCTGCTCTTGAAGTGTGGTTTAGTGTAATGGTTCATTTGAAAAAGACGCCCTCCGCTTCTCGGTGTTTTTTTCGTGCTTCACGCTCGTGTGTTTAATACCTACCCGCTCCGTCTCACGACACACACAAAAGCCCTATTTAATCAGACAGCAAACGGAGCCGGACGTCTCTTCTTATTGGTGGCATTACCCGGTTAGTGCGGTCCATGTAAGCACAAAACAATAACACACCTCGCGTGCGCACAGGCGGCCATCGCTGCGAAGAAGGAACTGACGGAACAGAAGAGGAGGAAGGCGGCGATGCTCAAGCAGCAGGAACTTGAGGTGCGAACGCCGCCGCCGCCGCCGCTGGGGGCATGCATTCATGGATCATCATGTGCCCTCCTGAGGTCACGCGTCATGGAAATTGTTGTCAAGATTTTTCGTGTTGGTAGGTCTTAAGTCTACAACAACAGCGCATCATCGGGGTATCCATGTATGGCACCACTCACGTTGTTATTCACGCGCAGAAAAGACACACCGCGGCGATAAAATTTTGCTCGGGCTAAAAGGTATCACCCGGGTGTGTGGGGGGCGTGTGGTTTCTTTGCTGTCGCACTACAGCAGTATTTGCTTGACCTGAGAACAATGTCAACGTTTTTTTTACCTCTCCGCATTGCACGATACGATGGATTATCGTACACGATCGACACATGGTGTTTGTACAGATGAAGAACATCGCGAAAGCAAAGCAGGCAGAGCTGGCGGCGGAGCAGCAACGGACGCTGAGGGAGAGGGCGGAAAGGGCTAAGAAGCAAAGGCTGGCGGCGGCCTCCGCCAAGAAGGCAGCCAAGGAGAAGCAGACCGAGAAACAGGCGAGCTAGCTCTTGATCCTCGTTGATGTTGATTGCTGTTTGTTGGCATTGTTGGCGAGGCTATGGTTGTTGTTGGGTGTTGCTGCTGTTGAGTTGCGTTGTTCTTACTGTTGTTGTTATGCGTTGTGGGGTTATGGATGTTGTTGTTGTTGGTGTTGCTGCTGTTGTGTTGCGTTGTTGTTATCGTTGTTGTTATGCGCTGTGGGGTTATGTATGATGTTGTTGAACGGTGTTGGTGTTGTCGCTGCTGCTGCTGCTGCTGGTGCAACCCTCCCCACCGCCTCGCCACACCAACCCCGCCAACAAGCCAAACCTTGCGCCACAACACTTGGTCTGTCTAGCCCACGTATTTCGTCAAACTCCTGTTTGCTGTACTGACTGGCATATTGTGTTTTGACTTTTGGTTGCCACGCCGGGATATGCTGGACCCATGGGACTCGTGTGGCCTTCAGGCTCGGGCGCTACAGGAGAAGATGGGCGAACAGCGGGAGCTCAACGAGCGTCTAGCGAAGGAGGAGAGGGCAAGAAGACGGGAGAGCCTCGCCCACAGGGTAAGCACTAACAACAACAGCAGCAGCTTCACAGATTGCTGCGTTTGTCGTTCCTTTCACAGGGGCGGCGGCTATCGGCCTACCGACTTTGTGGGGTCCCCCCCCCCACGAAGGACGGGACTGTGTGGATGCGGCCGAAATGTTCTCTCGAGAGACACAATCCGATGCCCCCCGCAGACATCGTCATCCCTGTGGGAACAATGCTCCGTCCTCTCGAGGACGTGCGGCCAATGGTCTAAGGCATGCAAAACATGAGTACACCCTCCAGATTCCTCTTGCACACTCCTTTGTGTGCCTCTGCCTGTGGCCTCGTCTCCCTCAATTCTCGTGTTTGCTTGTGGCGTGTGTGTTTGCGAATGCGTGCCATGTACATGTGTGTGTTTGTATTGTGCGCCCCTGCCTGTGACCTACTCTCCCTCAATTCTCGTGTTTGCCGTGTGTGTTTGCGAACGCGTGCCGTGTGTGTGTTTGTTTGTGCGCCCCTGCCTGTGACCTGCTCTCCCTCAATTATCGTGTTTGTTGGCGGCGTGTGTGTTTGGGAACGCGTGCCGTGTGTGTGTTTGGTTGTGTGCCCCTTAACTGAAGAGCGCCGCTTGGGAGCGCGAGCGGGAGATGAAGAAGAGCCAGAGGAAGGCGCGGAAGCAGGAGCAGCGCCTGGTCATGGAGGGGCACGAGGTGAGCGCACCAAATACCACGTGGGGACGGGACGAGGAGGGAGCAAGGGTAAAAGGCGATTGATGGATTGTTATTTTTTTTTTGTCTGGATGCGGAGTTTTCTTTGTGTGTGTTGACTCGCGACTAAGCCTCTGGGAGTACTTCATCCAGCTTGATAGATGGTAGACTGAGTCTGAAAGTACGGGAAAAGACAGAAGACAGACAACTTGAACATGCACCGTTTTTGTTTTCGTCGCAGCCTCGAAAAGCAAGAGAGAGCAAACACCACGCGACAACAACATCGCGTCAGAAACGAATTTTGTGTTTTTTTTTCTTGTCTCCTTGGCGCTGCCGTGTGTGGCTGGCGCGCCACAAAAGCTGGCTCATGATGCCATCCATCCAGCAAACGTGCAGCGGCTGGAACTTGTCGACGACTATTGTAGCAATCAAGCGTGTTTGATACTTGGTATGCCGGCAGCTTTGGTGGACGTTTTGATTGACGTCGTGTGTGACGGAAACGCATTCTCAAGTTCTACGAGAGCCTCAGAGCGTGCAGCGGCCTGCGATTGTTGCCGAACGGCATTGATTGGAAGAAAGGCAACCGTGGCGTTTGTTTCGCTCCCCAACCCGCCCCCGACCTTCTCCCCTCTACCCCCCTGCAGCTTGGGAAGACTTCGTGACTCACTCTGTTTATTTATTATTGTTGAGTCAGACCGTCAAGTCATGCAGCAGGCGCGAGAAAGAGCAGCCGGTTTTCCTCTCTTTCTCTTTTTGATTGTGTTGTATCGAGGCCTGTTTTGTGAGTCCCCCCGCCCCATCTAATCGCATTATTGTCGTAACCAGTCGCCGGGTACCCAACTCGTCTGACCGTAGACCCTCTCTTTGCTATTTATCAGTGTTGTCGTCGTTGTCGTCGACGCCGCCTTGATTATTATTGGTTGCGGTGGTGATGCATGTTTGTTTGTTTGTTTTTTCAGTTGTTCCGGGAGGCGAAGAGCCGCGTGAAAAAGCAGCAGGAGCGGACGGACAAGCAGGAACGGGCGTGGCGGGCTAACCGGGCGTACCTCGACAAGTCCCTCGATGAGGGGGCCGAAGACAAAAGGGCGTACGTGAGTTGTTGTGCTGCTGCTGCTGTTTCTGCTGCCGCAGCAGTCTCCGGCGGTTGCTTTCTTGTCGTAAAATCAACAATTCGGACCTCTCTCTCTGCACAACGTTAACTCGCAAGTTGATTTCACCTGCGCATTTTGTGTCCTCTCTGCCTGGGTATTGTTTGTTGTGATGTTTAAATCGTTGAGAACAACAACGTTTCATTCCTCCGGTGAAGATGAACGAATGTCTTCGGGCGTTTCAGCTGTTTTGTCTTCCCGCCGCCCGGCACCCCAATCTTTTTTCTTCCAAGTTTCCACCTCGTCGCTAGGGTCTCTTCCCCATCCCTACTACTCCCTCCAATGGCCCAAGCTCTTTAACTCCACCAGCCAGTTGTATTTTTTTTTTGTGTCGACGTTGTTCGAAAGCTTGGTGCTTGCGACATGCTCACCGCCCGATATTTCACCTAATGGCCGGTTGTTGTATCGATGTTACTGGGCCAAAGCCGAAAGGTTCGTGCTCGTCGTCCGACATTTTTACCCCTAGCCGGTTATTCTGTCGGCCTTTGCTCGGGCGACGCCGAGAGCTTCATGGTCATCGTCCGATACCTACATACCTACCTAGTACGTGTTAGCTGGTTGTTCCATCGACGTTGCTCAGCCAACGCCTCGTGCTTGCGGCACGGTCATCTTCCGATATCAACATCCGCGGGTTCCACCAACACCGTCCATACCGATGCAGGAGGCGTATGATGCGAGGATGGACAGGTACCAGGACCAGGCGGCGTTGGACAGGGCGGAGGAGGAAGAGAGGCGGCTTCGGAGGACGTCCGCGCAGTGGGGGTGGGTGGTCTTTTGCGCGGTACCACTTTCAGATGAGCGAGAGCTCTATTTTATGTCAAAGTACAAAGTCGACCTATTACAAACATTTCCCGGGCATATGTACCGGATCACAGAAGCAACTGTTGTGGGCACAGGATTTGTTGGCAAGGATAGGAAATAAATAGAGCCTTGTTCTTGTCCAGATGGGAACTGATGCTGGTTGCCACGCGGTAAGTAATTCTGTGTCGATGTCATTCCTGCTGCCTCTTGTGGCTTTCGTTGTCATTGAAGATGCTGCTGCTGTAGGGTGTTTGCCGGTGTTTTCATTCACGGTCATCGTTTCTGCTGGCCCCTGCGTCTGTCTCTGGCCTAAACAGGCGGAACAAACAGCTGCTGGACCGCGAGATCGAGCAGGGCTCGGGCAAGGCCTTGGACCCCTTCAAGCTGGCGGACGAGCTGTTCCAGCGAGCGGAGAGCCGAAAGGTAAGTTTACTCTTATTAATGCTACGTGTGAAGGAATGTGTTGACTACCGATCAACCCACCGTTGCCCAAGCCTCCTTAGGCAAGCACCCATGGCGACGACGAGAATACTTTTTTGAGATAGTATACGTAGTCTCAAGCCTCCTCGCCGGCGGGCGCCGTCTCACCTTTGCCAGCGCATCCGCATCCAGTGTGTCCTCCACCCGCAGCTGTCGAGAGACGCATGCCATTGGCCCACTGTCAACAGCATTGCCCACTTGGGCATTGTTTCGCCTGTCATGTTGCGGTGTCACGACGTACAGCAGTAGTCTGCTCTCGTTTTCTTTTGTCTTTTTTGCCCGGGGTTACAATTAATCGAGCACGACGCATTTACATGAGTCATCACCCACAAGTTACAGCCTGCTCAATCAAATGAATCGTTTGACCACTATTATATTACGGACGAAACCAACTCTTAATCGATCGACCAGGAGGACGCGGAGTACCGGGAGGCCCAGAAGGCTCTCTGGCGGGAGTCGCAGCAGCGGCATCGCAGGTCCGAGGCACGGAGGAAGGTGGTCGGAGAGGCCCTACATGAGGAGGAGAGGGAGAGGGAGGCCGATCTCACGGCGTCGAAGGAAGAGGGCATGAGAGACGTGGAGGCGTACCGGCAGGTGTGGGGGGGGAGGGAAAGAAGAGAAGCTTGCATGCTTGCGATAGAGGGAGAAATATTGTCGGTGTGTATGTTGTAGAAGTATCTGTTCATGTGTCGTCTTTCAACGTTTGCGCTGGTTGCTTTCTTGTCTGTTGTTCTGTTGGTCTACTGCTGTGTTCTGACGGAACAATGGACTACTCTACCTCTGCTTTTTCTTCTTCTCTTTTTCTTGCGGAACAATTGACCACATTACCGTACCACATTACCGTGACACCAGGAGTGCCTCCGTCGGGATCGCGAGTCGCTGGATTGGCACCGTCAGAAGTTCTTCGATGACCGAGCGGTGGAGGAGTGGACGAAGGGGATTGCCAAGGCGGCGGAGACGGAAGACCGCGAGCTGAGCGAGCTCGCCCGACTGGACAGCGAGGTAGGCGGGGGGTGGGGATGCTTGTAGGCTGCCTTTCGTATGTGGCATGTCGCTGTTTACCGCTGATGGGGTGTTGTGTGCGAGCCTGGTGTTGCCTGCAAGAAGGTCTGTCTGTGTGCTTTGACCTTCTTCAAGGCTTGAACCGACCACCTCCTCCTTCAAATGTTAATGTTTGACGACTAACTGCTATGTAGCTTCTTTTTCAGAAAATTTACAGACTAAAGAGCTACCCATTAGAGATAACTACCACACGGCAGTAGAAGAAGGGGGCGTGTTTGGAAGTCGATTGCAGGTGCTCGTTGCCATTTTCCCGCACTTGAGGGACGATTAAACCATCTTTTTTACTCGGCGAAAACGAAAACACCAGGCATACAAGCGCCGGGTGGAAGAGACACAGAAGCTTGAAGAGGAGTACAGGCGGCAGCAGCAGATTGAGGGTCGCTTCAACAAGGAGGACGAGGAGCTGCGGATGAGGGAGCAGGAGGCGGAGGAGCGCAGGTGGGGGTGAGGGGGGAAGCAAAGACGGCTATTTTGTTGCAGCACAAGATGATGTGGCGCAGAGAGAGAGAGAGACAGACAGACAGACAGACAGACAAGAGAGAGAGAATGTCTAGGTGTGTTGACACTCAGAAAGTTGGTGACGCACTGCTCAGTCGAGATGGGCCGAGTGTGCGTGGTGAGTGCCGCTTGTTGTTGCTGAGAAAGGCGGAGCAATGATATGCTGCCATGTGTGACGGCTGCTGCTGCCGCTACTTGCCCACCCCTCCGATGAGCTGTCTACCAAGAACAGTCGAAGAGTCCACCGGACGGCAGCAACAGCAATAGGTTTGACCAAAGACAACCAGCAACTTTTATTGCGTACAATGCGCAAGAGGAGGCCCGGCCTCGAAGAAATCACACCCACACACACAAGTCTTGAAGGGCAGCAACGTCACGCAATCCAATCCGACTCGACTATTGTGGTTGTAGAGGAACGAGCGAGAACGTCGGCTGTTGTCGGCTGAGAAGGCGTGCGCGAGCGTGGTGTCACCCTGCCCAGAATTTTACACCCATGTAGACGTGGGAAAAATTCATGCGGCAAGTGAGAAAAGCCTCTTTTGTGATGCATGCACCTGCTTGCCGGCCTACCTGCGTGGGTGCGTGCGTTTGCTTGTTGTTGTTGTTGTTGCCACCTCACTTGTCATTGAAACCGTGTTGTTCCCTTATTCTTTTTTTGCTGTGTCGCGGCGGTGGACTAGGGTAATGCTGGAGGACAGGGAGAGCGTCTCTGCCAGCAAGCGGAGGGAGGAGCAGGCGGAGTTGGACAGGTCAGTACTACTGTAAGGCGGACAATGCCGCGGAATGAACAGAGCAATCCCATGCGTGGTGATTCGCACATCGGTGTTGACACCACAACACCATACACACAGATTGTTGGTGTAACCGACCAAGCTCTTCAGGCCGTACATTCGTGCAGCACCTGCTGGATGTATGTAGCATGCGTGCCCATTTTTGTTTTTGAGCAAGTTCATTCCTTGCTGTGACCACGGAAGGCGATCCGGGTCAGTCAGACCAAGTGCTGTACTGCGGGTGCTTAAAAGGCACCGAGCAGGGATCGGAACGGTTTTCATTGAAAAGAACGGGACGCCAGGATATAGCTGGTTGTACGGGGCAGCTTGACGTCGTTCTGTACCCACTATGAAAGAATAAAGGGTTAAGAGCATGATGTGCAGTCTCGAACAGCAGTCATAAAATTAGGCACGCCCTCCTTACTCGCTGGCTTCTTGGTGCATAGCCTGTACCATGTGAAGTATTTTGGTACGTTCCTGTGGTGGATGAAGCCGCATCATGCCTCCTTGTGCCACACCGCTTCGTTTAACCGCCGCCCCCCCGATCCGGTCTTGTGAAGCAGTGCTCCGTTCTCTCAAGGGCACGTGGTTAATGATCTATCCCCTTAGGCATGCAAAACATGAGAGTACGCCCCCCCCCCCCCCCCCCTCCCAGGTGTCTATACTTTTTACGGCTGGGTGCTTACCGTGCAGTCCATTGCAACCTTCTCCGCATTCCACATGCCCAAGAAATGTACCATTCCCTCTTACTTGTTTTTGGGTCATATACTACAAGACTGCAGCAAGCGGCCGCTGCGATAGTTGTTGCGATACGGACAAAAGGAAA